TAATAGCACTAGTTATGTTACTGCACACAAATGAACAATGACCCCACGTGATTTGAACACGCAACCTTCTGATCTGGAGTCAGACGCGCTACCGTTGCGCCACAGGGCCCACGGGCACTAAGGTCCAGTAAAACATATTTCTAATAGCACTAGTTATGTTACTGCACACAAAAATAGTCCAATGACCCCGACGTGATTTGAACACGCAACCTTCTGATCTGGAGTCAGACGCGCTACCGTTGCGCCACAGGGCCCACGGGCACTAAGGTCCAGTAAAACATATTTTTCTAATAGCACTAGTTAGTACTGCACAAAAAATAGTCCAATGACCCCGACGTGATTTGAACACGCAACCTTCTGATCTGGAGTCAGACGCGCTACCGTTGCGCCACAGGGCCCACGGGCACTAAGGTCCAGTAAACACATATTTTCTAATAGCACTAGTTATGTTACTGCACACAAAAATAGACCCAATGACCCCGACGTGATTTGAACACGCAACCTTCTGATCTGGAGTCAGACGCGCTACCGTTGCGCCACAGGGCCCACGGGCACTAAGGTCCAGTAAAACAATTTTCTCTAATAGCACTAGTTAGTGCACACAAAATTAGTCCAATGACCCCGACGTGATTTGAACACGCAACCTTCTGATCTGGAGTCAGACGCGCTACCGTTGCGCCACAGGGCCCACGGGCACTAAGGTCCAGTAAAACAATTTTCTCTAATAGCACTAGTTAGTGCACACAAAATGAACCCAATGACCCCGACGTGATTTGAACACGCAACCTTCTGATCTGGAGTCAGACGCGCTACCGTTGCGCCACAGGGCCCACGGGCACTAAGGTCCAGTAAAACAATTTTTCTAATAGCACTAGTTAGTGCACACAAAATGAACCCAATGACCCCGACGTGATTTGAACACGCAACCTTCTGATCTGGAGTCAGACGCGCTACCGTTGCGCCACAGGGCCCACGAGCACTAAGGTCCAGTAAAACATTTTCTCTAATAGCACTAGTTAGTGCACACAAAAATAGTCCAATGACCCCGACGTGATTTGAACACGCAACCTTCTGATCTGGAGTCAGACGCGCTACCGTTGCGCCACAGGGCCCACGGCACTAAGGCCAGTTAAACAATTTTTTCTAATAGCACTAGTTAGTGCACACAAAATGAACCCAATGACCCCGACGTGATTTGAACACGCAACCTTCTGATCTGGAGTCAGACGCGCTACCGTTGCGCCACAGGGCCCACGGGCACTAAGGTCCAGTAAAACATATTTTTCTAATAGCACTAGTTATGTTACTGCACACAAAATAGCCCAATGACCCCGACGTGATTTGAACACGCAACCTTCTGATCTGGAGTCAGACGCGCTACCGTTGCGCCACAGGGCCCACGGGCACTAAGGTCCAGTAAAACATATTTTTCTAATAGCACTAGTTATGTTACTGCACACAAAAATAGCCCAATGACCCCGACGTGATTTGAACACGCAACCTTCTGATCTGGAGTCAGACGCGCTACCGTTGCGCCACAGGGCCAACGGGCACTAAGGTCCAGTAAAACAATTTTCTCTAATAGCACTAGTTAGTGCACACAAAATGAACCCAATGACCCCGACGTGATTTGAACACGCAACCTTCTGATCTGGAGTCAGACGCGCTACCTTTGCGCCACAGGGCCCACGAGCACTAAGGTCCAGTAAAACATTTTTTTAATAGCACTAGTTATGTTACTGCACACAAAATTAGTCCAATGACCCCGACGTGATTTGAACACGCAACCTTCTGATCTGGAGTCAGACGCGCTACCGTTGCGCCACAGGGCCCACGGGCACTAAGGTCCAGTAAAACATATTTTTCTAATAGCACTAGTTATGTTACTGCACACAAAAATAGTCCAATGACCCCGACGTGATTTGAACACGCAACCTTCTGATCTGGAGTCAGACGCGCTACCGTTGCGCCACAGGGCCACGAGCACTAAGGTCCAGTAAAACATATTTTTCTAATAGCACTAGTTAGTGCACACAAAAATAGTCCAATGACCCCGACGTGATTTGAACACGCAACCTTCTGATCTGGAGTCAGACGCGCTACCGTTGCGCCACAGGGCCCACGGGCACTAAGGTCCAGTAAAACATATTTTTTAATAGCACTAGTTATGTTACTGCACACAAAATTAGTCCAATGACCCCGACGTGATTTGAACACGCAACCTTCTGATCTGGAGTCAGACGCGCTACCGTTGCGCCACAGGGCCCACGGGCACTAAGGTCCAGTAAAACATATTTTTCTAATAGCACTAGTTATGTTACTGCACACAAAAATAGTCCAATGACCCCGACGTGATTTGAACACGCAACCTTCTGATCTGGAGTCAGACGCGCTACCGTTGCGCCACAGGGCACGGGCACTAAGGTCCAGTAAAACATATTTTTCTAATAGCACTAGTTATATTACTGCACACAAAAATAGTCCAATGACCCCGACGTGATTTGAACACGCAACCTTCTGATCTGGAGTCAGACGCGCTACCGTTGCGCCACAGGGCCCACGGGCACTAAGGTCCAGTAAAACATATTTTTCTAATAGCACTAGTTATATTACTGCACACAAAAATAGTCCAATGACCCCGACGTGATTTGAACACGCAACCTTCTGATCTGGAGTCAGACGCGCTACCGTTGCGCCACAGGGCCCACGGGCACTAAGGTCCAGTAAAACATATTTTTCTAATAGCACTAGTTAGTGCACACAAAAATAGTCCAATGACCCCGACGTGATTTGAACACGCAACCTTCTGATCTGGAGTCAGACGCGCTACCGTTGCGCCACAGGGCCCACGGGCACTAAGGTCCAGTAAAACATATTTTTCTAATAGCACTAGTTAGTGCACACAAAATAGCCCAATGACCCCGACGTGATTTGAACACGCAACCTTCTGATCTGGAGTCAGACGCGCTACCGTTGCGCCACAGGGCCCACGGGCACTAAGGTCCAGTAAAACATTTTTCTAATAGCACTAGTTATGTTACTGCACACAAAATGAACCCAATGACCCCGACGTGATTTGAACACGCAACCTTCTGATCTGGAGTCAGACGCGCTACCGTTGCGCCACAGGGCCCACGGGCACTAAGGTCCAGTAAAACAATTTTTCTAATAGCACTAGTTATGTTACTGCGCACAAAAAATAGTCCAATGACCCGACGTGATTTGAACACGCACATTTTTCTAATAGCACTAGTTAGTGCACACAAAAATAGTCCAATGACCACGACGTGATTTGAACACGCAACCTTCTGATCTGGAGTCAGACGCGCTACCGTTGCGCCACAGGGCCCACGGGCACTAAGGTCCAGTAAAACATATTTTCTAATAGCACTAGTTAGTGCACACAAAAATAGTCCAATGACCCCGACGTGATTTGAACACGCAACCTTCTGATCTGGAGTCAGACGCGCTACCGTTGCGCCACAGGGCCCACGGGCACTAAGGTCCAGTAAACATATTTTTCTAATAGCACTAGTTATGTTACTGCACACAAAAATACCCAATGACCCCGACGTGATTTGAACACGCAACCTTCTGATCTGGAGTCAGACGCGCTACCGTTGCGCCACAGGGCCCACGGGCACTAAGGTCCAGTAAAACATATTTTTCTAATAGCACTAGTTATGTTACTGCACACAAAAATAGTCCAATGACCCCGACGTGATTTGAACACGCAACCTTCTGATCTGGAGTCAGACGCGCTACCGTTGCGCCACAGGGCCCACGGGCACTAAGGTCCAGTAAAACATTTTCTCTAATAGCACTAGTTAGTGCACACAAAAATAGTCCAATGACCCCGACGTGATTTGAACACGCAACCTTCTGATCTGGAGTCAGACGCGCTACCGTTGCGCCACAGGGCCCACGGGCACTAAGGTCCAGTAAAACAATTTTTCTAATAGCACTAGTTAGTGCACACAAAATGAACCCAATGACCCCGACGTGATTTGAACACGCAACCTTCTGATCTGGAGTCAGACGCGCTACCGTTGCGCCACAGGGCCCACGGGCACTAAGGTCCAGTAAAACATATTTTTCTAATAGCACTAGTTATGTTACTGCACACAAAAATAGTCCAATGACCCCGACGTGATTTGAACACGCAACCTTCTGATCTGGAGTCAGACGCGCTACCGTTGCGCCACAGGGCCCACGGGCACTAAGGTCCAGTAAAACATATTTTTCTAATAGCACTAGTTATGTTACTGCACACAAAATAGCCCAATGACCCCGACGTGATTTGAACACGCAACCTTCTGATCTGGAGTCAGACGCGCTACCGTTGCGCCACAGGGCCCACGGGCACTAAGGTCCAGTAAAACAATTTTTCTAATAGCACTAGTTAGTGCACACAAAATGAACCAATGACCCCGACGTGATTTGAACACGCAACCTTCTGATCTGGAGTCAGACGCGCTACCGTTGCGCCACAGGGCCCACGGGCACTAAGGTCCAGTAAAACATTTTTTAATAGCACTAGTTATGTTACTGCACACAAAAATAGTCCAATGACCCCGACGTGATTTGAACACGCAACCTTCTGATCTGGAGTCAGACGCGCTACCGTTGCGCCACAGGGCCCACGGTAACAGTCCAGTAAAACATATTTTTCTAATAGCACTAGTTATGTTACTGCACACAAAATAGTCCAATGACCCCGACGTGATTTGAACACGCAACCTTCTGATCTGGAGTCAGACGCGCTACCGTTGCGCCACAGGGCCCACGAGCACTAAGGTCCAGTAAAACATATTTTTCTAATAGCACTAGTTAGTGCACACAAAAATAGTCCAATGACCCCGACGTGATTTGAACACGCAACCTTCTGATCTGGAGTCAGACGCGCTACCGTTTGCGCCACAGGGCCCACGAGCACTAAGGTCCAGTAAAACATTTTTCTAATAGCACTAGTTATGTTACTGCACACAAAAATAGTCCAATGACCCCGACGTGATTTGAACACGCAACCTTCTGATCTGGAGTCAGACGCGCTAACACCGTTGCGCCACAGGGCCCACGGGCACTAAGGTCCAGTAAAACATATTTTTCTAATAGCACTAGTTATGTTACTGCACACAAAAATAGTCCAATGACCCGACGTGATTTGAACACGCAACCTTCTGATCTGGAGTCAGACGCGCTACCGTTTGCGCCACAGGGCCCACGGGCACTAAGGTCCAGTAAAACATTTTTTCTAATAGCACTAGTTAGTGCACACAAAAATAGTCCAATGACCCCGACGTGATTTGAACACGCAACCTTCTGATCTGGAGTCAGACGCGCTACCGTTGCGCCACAGGGCCCACGGGCACTAAGGTCCAGTAAAACATATTTTTCTAATAGCACTAGTTAGTGCACACAAAATAGTCCAATGACCCCGACGTGATTTGAACACGCAACCTTCTGATCTGGAGTCAGACGCGCTACCGTTGCGCCACAGGGCCCACGGGCACTAAGGTCCAGTAAAACATATTTTTCTAATAGCACTAGTTAGTGCACACAAAAATAGTCCAATGACCCCGACGTGATTTGAACACGCAACCTTCTGATCTGGAGTCAGACGCGCTACCGTTGCGCCATAGGGCCCACGGGCACTAAGGTCCAGTAAAACATATTTTTCTAATAGCACTAGTTATGTTACTGCACACAAAATGAACCCAATGACCCCGACGTGATTTGAACACGCAACCTTCTGATCTGGAGTCAGACGCGCTACCGTTGCGCCACAGGGCCCACGGGCCCTAAGGTCCAGTAAAACATATTTTTCTAATAGCACTAGTTATGTTACTGCACACAAAAATAGTCCAATGACCCCGACGTGATTTGAACACGCAACATTTTTCTAATAGCACTAGTTAGTGCACACAAAAATAGTCCAATGACCACGACGTGATTTGAACACGCAACCTTCTGATCTGGAGTCAGACGCGCTACCGTTGCGCCACAGGGCCCACGGGCACTAAGGTCCAGTAAAACATATTTTTCTAATAGCACTAGTTAGTGCACACAAAAATAGTCCAATGACCCCGACGTGATTTGAACACGCAACCTTCTGATCTGGAGTCAGACGCGCTACCGTTGCGCCACAGGGCCCACGGGCACTAAGGTCCAGTAAAACATATTTTTCTAATAGCACTAGTTATGTTACTGCACACAAAAATAGTCCAATGACCCCGACGTGATTTGAACACGCAACCTTCTGATCTGGAGTCAGACGCGCTACCGTTGCGCCACAGGGCCCACGGGCACTAAGGTCCAGTAAAACATATTTTTCTAATAGCACTAGTTAGTGCACACAAAATAGTCCAATGACCCCGACGTGATTTGAACACGCAACCTTCTGATCTGGAGTCAGACGCGCTACCGTTGCGCCACAGGGCCCACGGGCACTAAGGTCCAGTAAAACATATTTTCTAATAGCACTAGTTAGTGCACACAAAATAGTCCAATGACCCCGACGTGATTTGAACACGCAACCTTCTGATCTGGAGTCAGACGCGCTACCGTTGCGCCACAGGGCCCACGGGCACTAAGGTCCAGTAAAACATATTTTTCTAATAGCACTAGTTAGTGCACACAAAAATAGTCCAATGACCCCGACGTGATTTGAACACGCAACCTTCTGATCTGGAGTCAGACGCGCTACCGTTGCGCCACAGGGCCCACGGGCACTAAGGTCCAGTAAAACAATTTTTCTAATAGCACTAGTTAGTGCACACAAAATGAACCCAATGACCCCGACGTGATTTGAACACGCAACCTTCTGATCTGGAGTCAGACGCGCTACCGTTGCGCCACAGGGCCCACGAGCACTAAGGTCCAGTAAAACATTTTTTCTAATAGCACTAGTTAGTGCACACAAAAATAGTCCAATGACCCCGACGTGATTTGAACACGCAACCTTCTGATCTGGAGTCAGACGCGCTACCGTTGCGCCACAGGGCCCACGGGCACTAAGGTCCAGTAAAACATATTTTTCTAATAGCACTAGTTAGTGCACACAAAAATAGTCCAATGACCCCGACGTGATTTGAACACGCAACCTTCTGATCTGGAGTCAGACGCGCTACCGTTGCGCCACAGGGCCCACGGCACTAAGGTCCAGTAAAACATATTTTTCTAATAGCACTAGTTACTGCACACAAAAATAGTCCAATGACCCCGACGTGATTTGAACACGCAACCTTCTGATCTGGAGTCAGACGCGCTACCGTTGCGCCACAGGGCCCACGGGCACTAAGGTCCAGTAAAACAACTTTTTCTAATAGCACTAGTTAGTGCACACAAAATGAACCCAATGACCCCGACGTGATTTGAACACGCAACCTTCTGATCTGGAGTCAGACGCGCTACCGTTGCGCCACAGGGCCCACGGGCACTAAGGTCCAGTAAAACATATTTTTCTAATAGCACTAGTTAGTGCACACAAAAATAGTCCAATGACCCCGACGTGATTTGAACACGCAACCTTCTGATCTGGAGTCAGACGCGCTACCGTTGCGCCACAGGGCCCACGGGCACTAAGGTCCAGTAAAACAATTTTCTCTAATAGCACTAGTTAGTGCACACAAAATGAACCCAATGACCCCGACGTGATTTGAACACGCAACCTTCTGATCTGGAGTCAGACGCGCTACCGTTGCGCCACAGGGCCCACGGGCACTAAGGTCCAGTAAAACAATTTTCTCTAATAGCACTAGTTAGTGCACACAAAATGAACCCAATGACCCCGACGTGATTTGAACACGCAACCTTCTGATCTGGAGTCAGACGCGCTACCGTTGCGCCACAGGGCCCACGGGCACTAAGGTCCAGTAAAACATTTTTTCTAATAGCACTAGTTAGTGCACACAAAAATAGTCCAATGACCCCGACGTGATTTGAACACGCAACCTTCTGATCTGGAGTCAGACGCGCTACCGTTGCGCCACAGGGCCCACGGGCACTAAGGTCCAGTAAAACATATTTTTCTAATAGCACTAGTTATGTTACTGCACACAAAATAGTCCAATGACCCCGACGTGATTTGAACACGCAACATTTTCTAATAGCACTAGTTAGTGCACACAAAAATAGTCCAATGACCCCGACGTGATTTGAACACGCAACCTTCTGATCTGGAGTCAGACGCGCTACCGTTGCGCCACAGGGCCCACGGGCACTAAGGTCCAGTAAAACATATTTTTCTAATAGCACTAGTTAGTGCACACAAAATAGTCCAATGACCCCGACGTGATTTGAACACGCAACCTTCTGATCTGGAGTCAGACGCGCTACCGTTGCGCCACAGGGCCCACGGGCACTAAGGTCCAGTAAAACATATTTTCTAATAGCACTAGTTAGTGCACACAAAATAGTCCAATGACCCCGACGTGATTTGAACACGCAACCTTCTGATCTGGAGTCAGACGCGCTACCGTTGCGCCACAGGGCCCACGGGCACTAAGGTCCAGTAAAACATATTTTTCTAATAGCACTAGTTAGTGCACACAAAAATAGCCCAATGACCCCGACGTGATTTGAACACGCAACCTTCTGATCTGGAGTCAGACGCGCTACCGTTGCGCCACAGGGCCCACGGGCACTAAGTCCAGTAAAACAATTTTCTCTAATAGCACTAGTTAGTGCACACAAAATGAACCCAATGACCCCGACGTGATTTGAACACGCAACCTTCTGATCTGGAGTCAGACGCGCTACCGTTGCGCCACAGGGCCCACGGGCACTAAGGTCCAGTATAACATTTTTTCTAATAGCACTAGTTAGTGCACACAAAATAGTCCAATGACCCCGACGTGATTTGAACACGCAACCTTCTGATCTGGAGTCAGACGCGCTACCGTTGCGCCACAGGGCCCACGGGCACTAAGGTCCAGTAAAACAATTTTCTCTAATAGCACTAGTTAGTGCACACAAAATGAACCCAATGACCCCGACGTGATTTGAACACGCAACCTTCTGATCTGGAGTCAGACGCGCTACCGTTGCGCCACAGGGCCCACGGGCACTAAGGTCCAGTAAAACAATTTTCTCTAATAGCACTAGTTAGTGCACACAAAATGAACCCAATGACCCCGACGTGATTTGAACACGCAACCTTCTGATCTGGAGTCAGACGCGCTACCGTTGCGCCACAGGGCCCACGGGCACTAAGGTCCAGTAAAACATATTTTTCTAATAGCACTAGTTAGTGCACATAAAAATAGTCCAATGACCCCGACGTGATTTGAACACGCAACCTTCTGATCTGGAGTCAGACGCGCTACCGTTGCGCCACAGGGCCCACGGGCCCTAAGGTCCAGTAAAACATATTTTTCTAATAGCACTAGTTATGTTACTGCACACAAAATAGTCCAATGACCCCGACGTGATTTGAACACGCAACATTTTTCTAATAGCACTAGTTAGTGCACACAAAAATAGTCCAATGACCACGACGTGATTTGAACACGCAACCTTCTGATCTGGAGTCAGACGCGCTACCGTTGCGCCACAGGGCCCACGGGCACTAAGGTCCAGTAAAACATATTTTTCTAATAGCACTAGTTAGTGCACACAAAAATAGTCCAATGACCCCGATGTGATTTGAACACGCAACGTTCAAATCTTCAAATATTTGCTTATCACTAGATACCCGTTTTTTTATTCTTTCTTACATATAAGTACTTATCCGTTAAAAATTTGATGTTATTCCGATTCGGACTCATAATCCGACGTCTTGTCATAAATATTCACGCGTATGACGGAGGATTAAATATGTAGTTAAGTAAAAGTTTAAATATATATGAATTGTTACTGTATTAAAACTCAGAAGCATTGTGTAGCAATAATTTATAAATAAATAACCATTATTAATAATGATTTTTGAGTATGATACAATTGAAAGATAAAACATTTAATTATATATTGAACTAGTGATGTATGGAATCGCGCCTTAGGCATTAATTGCTGTAATTAATTAAACACTCATTATTGGTATTTTCTAGGCAAAATATAAGAGCTTATAAATTGGACG